TAATGCTACAGATGGGGCAGCCAATATGCAAGGACAGTACAATGGGTTTACTAAATTGCGAGTCTGAGTGACGTCACACCTCATCAAATTCATGTCTGATGCTACGCACATGTATTGAACCTTGTTCTAAGTGAGACCACTCAAACCACGACCTCTTCAATTTGCCTATTTCAACTGCTTAATGAATGTGCGGTGTTCTTTAGAGAATCATATAAAAGAATGGATGTTTGGGTCGATCACCAACAGAAATCAAGACACCAAAGATTAAATATTATTTGTGAAACGCGATGGTGGGCCAAAGAAAGTGCATTAAAAAAAGTATCTGGAAATTTTGATGATGCAAACTCATCATTGTTCATTGAATTGATTAATACGTTACAAGAACTAGCGTCATCGGACGCATTCAATGCAAAAATCAGGGATACAGCTCAAACTTTACTAGATAAGTTTATCAAATTTGAAACGGTTGTCACTGCAAAACCATACTTAAGAATATTCCAGCAAACAGGATCGCTTTCTAATTATTTACAAACCACCGGAATGGATGCACTGCAAGCATACAGTAATGTAGATTGTACTGTTAAGTTGTTTTAAAATATTTCAAGAGATTGTTATGTGTTCTCGACATTGCCGAAAGATTTGTGTCCTGGGCAAAAACAAGTTGGAAGAAGAAAATGTTGAAATTACCATTGAGAAAATTTTGTAGAGAAACGTTTACACAAACCAAAAGTGATGTCTGATGAGAGAAGAACCCACTAGGTAGTAGGAAATAATGCAGCGGACAGATATCGCATTGAAGTTCATAATTGCATCATGGACAAACTTGTAAAAACTATTGAAAAGCGATTTGAAAGTCACGATTCCTTCTAAGCAGATATTGCCTGTCTTGATCCACAGAACTTTGAGGATATTAAACAACAAGGTTTCGCTACATCAGCGATGCAGCGCCTTAGCAGTATTCTCGTTAAATTCGATGAAAGCGCCACAGCGACTAATCTCAGACAAGAGCTAACTGACTTTGCGCAGAAATGGGACAAATTTAAAAATTCTGTCCCCGACGAATACCTTTTCCAAATGTTCGATGATTCAGTAGAGGACAGCGTCAGTGAAGATTGGCCACATGAACTCTGGGACGACCAAGTTGGGGATAAGAGTGAGGAACTTCCAAATACAAATCTTGCCAAAAATGTCCTGTTTGCTTCTTTTCTGTACTACATCAATACAGTTTCTCTGGGCAAACATACAAGCATCTCTTTAGTGCATATAAACTCTTATTGACTCTGTCGTCTACCCAAGTAGCTTGTGAGAGATCTTTCTCTAAACTGAAATACATTAAGAATCGCTTGCAAAGCTCATTGTCTTCTGCACACCTTGAAGCTTTAATGACTATGTCAACAGAAACCGATGTTTTAAGTGAACTGAATAATGACACAATTAGAGATCATGTAGCCGAAATGGCACCCAGCTTTTAAAGAAGTTGCTTATACTATAAACACCATCACAGTGAGTCCGAATAAATTGATTTATAACTTGAATTGACGCATTCTCGATATTTTGTATATAATTATAAATTATATATGCGATTTATCGTTTTTTTTGTTGCTATTGTATATTGTAATTTGTAAAGTGACCCATGACTTTGGAGGCCTCGGCCCTCAGGTTTGGATGGAAAAAATGCACAAGTAAAATAAAATTCATGAAGAAAGGGCCGCTTTTTTTGTTTTTTGAACTCCCCAGTCCACCCCTGCTGGCGAGGCATTCAGTTTCTCTCAGAGTTTATATAACTTACAGCAAACTGATAATCGAGGTTAGATCATTTTAAAACCATAAACTGACTATGACTACCCATGTTTCTCTAAAAATTCTCTAACCAATAAAATTAATTTTACTCAACTGACAGAGTCACCCATTGTTACGAAAATGGACAGTTTCCGTGTGGCTTGTGTGGTCTGCCCATAAATTTGACCATCATCGCCAGGAATCAGTTACGTGAACCGCATTTCGAGCTAAAAGCAACCTTGGTTAACAGGCAACAGCGACAGCTGTTGTTTATGGTGGAAGACGCAGCTCGTATTGTCGACGGTTTCAACCGGTGAGCTTTATACGGCAGTGCTTGCCAATATGTGTACATTTTAAATTAAGGACAACTTACTCTGATGCATATAAATTGAGGAACATCACTGGTACCCACTGGGTTGATAAATATGTTGTGGTCAACACAAAAAGATATTGGTGGTCACTGGTTTGATAAGGCTGTGCTAGTGGTCCACATAAAAAAGATTGGTGGTCACTGGTTTGATAATGCTGTGCTAGTGGTCCACATAAAAGAGATCGGTAGATTCTGGGATGACTTTGTTACGTGGTCCACTAATCACTAAACAGATGTTGGCAACTACGGTGTTGATATTTTGTTGTGGTTAACAGAACCGATATTGGTAATGGGAGCTACAGGGTCGACGTTATATGTGTTGTGGTTTACTTAACAGATATTTGGTAATGGTAGCTACTGGGTGACATTATATGTGTTGTGTTTAACTTAACAGATATTGGTAATGGTAGCTACTGGGTGACGTTATATGTGTTGTGGTTTACTTAACAGATATTGGTAATGGTAGCTACTGGGTGACATTATATGTGTTGTGGTTTACTTAACAGATATTGGTAATGGTAGCTACAGGGTTGACGTTATATGTGTTGTGGTTTACTTAACAGATATTGGTAATGGTAGCTACTGGGTGACATTATATGTGTTGTGGTTAACTTAACAGATATTGGTAATGGTAGCTACTGGGTGACATTATATGTGTTGTGGTTTACTTAACAGATATTGGTAATGGTAGCTACAGGGTTGACGTTATATGTGTTGTGGTTTACTTAACAGATATTGGTAATGGTAGCTACTGGGTGACATTATATGTGTTGTGGTTAACTTAACAGATATTGGTAATGGTAGCTACTGGGTGACATTATATGTGTTGTGGTTTACTTAACAGATATTGGTAATGGTAGCCACAGGGTTGACGTTATGTAGTGGTTAACATAGAGACATTGGTTATGGTAGCCACTGGGTATTGGATTAAAATGCAACCTATTTTTTTTAAACGCATACCCTATAACATTACAAATAATACAATTCTCTTTTTGCAGATGAAATACAACAATTTTTAGATGTTCATTGAGGATTAACTTCTTGTTTCGTTTATTTCTTGCTTAACTCTTTTTTTTTAATTAAATGGTTCTTTTCTGTGTATCTACTCCTGAAGCTTTAAAGCCACTTATTATGCTGGCCTAGGGTATTTAATAGACACTATTCAAGGCATCACTGGTTCAATAGTGGAAAAGACATTTTGGCACATGATCAGTATAAACAGCACCGTTGGATCTTTCAAGTGCGGTAAGTTGTTTCTTTAGATGTGGTCTTTAATGGCCGGCATAGGGTTGTTTATGGGTCTTGTTGATTGGGACACAGATTGAGACCCAGATACTGGGATGCACTAATTATGTTTCTTCAATATTTTCATTCTCTGCCTTTATGTTAGGAAATCTATCTCAAAACGGTTGAACAAAAATGAAAATGTCATTGGTCTAGCCAAGTCCTACTGCTTGCTTGACAGTTGAATGCTATTGTAATACAGGTATTTTATAAATAAGGCACAAAGGTGACTATTAACAGTCAGAGGAGTCCTCAGAGCAACCGCAAATAACTGTGGATTTTTGGACACCCAAAGCGCCAAAACAAGTTTTAATGTCCTGGTTTTAAAAATTGAAAAGTTATAACTTGAGACGGTGTCTAAGTAGCCAACCTTTGAAATCAATGATAGCACTTAGTCATTTGCTTTAATTACATACTTAATACAATGATTTCTTTGAGGAACCAATTCATCTAGAGTCTAGCATGATGTAATGAGCAAAGAATATATATTTAACTCGGATGCTTGGATTGTAACTCAAATTTTCCATTTTTTCAGGAGCATCAGATTATGTTCCCAATAATGGGGAGACAATCATGTTTAATTTTACAACATACTCTCAAGCTGGATTGGACTTCTGATAGGAATTAACCAGCCACAGATTTTTACAAATATTGAACTATATTCTTTTGTTTTTTATCAACTTTCATTTAGTGTTGCTCCTTTAAATTTCATAGTGTTAATTGAATTAAAAAAAATTAAAACTAAGTTGTGATATAATATTGTAGATCAAATTTATCATTTTTAAAATAATTTAATTAATATTTTAATTATTTTTGGATTTTAAAATGAACAAAAGTTTTAAAACTGAGTGCTCACTTAGAAAAACACAAATATTTATGTATTTATTGTTATTGTATCCACCATTTCATTAACATGATCTATTTTATTTCATGATGATATGTTGCTTCGGAACCCTCTTTTCTTTCTTCCTTTAAAATGACCACAACACTTACTTAATTTTAAAGTAAATAACAAGAAGAAAAAAGGTATTTCATTTAAAATATTTTCTTATGAAAGACAAGTAGATACCGGTACATAATAAAATTTTGCAAACAATCAAGCATCAATACTTTGGTTTAAAAAACATCAGAGAATTTTTGAAATTTATTTCTTATTTACAACAAAGTCATTAATGTAAAAAAATAATGAATAAATAAAATAAGTGACATAAAATACATCATAATTAATTATAATACTAAAGCAGCTTCCCATTTCAGCCATAATAATCTTAACTTAGTGCTTCATGGTCGAGTTGATTTTCATTTCTGTAATCAGAAAACTTTAGCACAACAGGAGTTTTCAGAGAAGGGATCGTTTCCTCTGCACTAGCCACAAGATAAACTGTGTCCTGTCTAAAACACTTCAATAGAAGCTACTCCCACAATGATGTTTGCACCAACACGCTCAATGAGGTGAACTTAAAACTAATACAAACCTTCTTCTTCTTCTATATCTTAAGGGCCCACGATCAATTTATTGATCATTTTGGCTCCTATGCATATAGATGGGATTTGCAATGTTTCTGTTACTGGTGTTGATGAGGAAATCATGCACTAGGGGTTTGAAGGCTTGAGGCAATAGACACAAATGTGTCTAGTGTTGTCGCCTCAACCGTTCCTTTTGAAAGATTGTTCCAGTCCCTGATTGTCTTGGGCAGGAATGAGCAGCTCCTATACTGGCTTCTTTCTGGTAGGAGCCTGAATTGCCTGTCATGCCTTGTCGCTGTCTATGGGGGAGAGGGACGAGTTTCTGTTTAATACTGGAACCTATGGACCTTGACACCACATTTCATGAATGTCAAGTTCCTTTCAAATATCATTGTTAAGAATATATGTGCAAGTGCTTTGGAAACACATAATACTATTTCTAGAACATTCAGAGATAAAAAGGAAGGGTTCATTCACTCTATTACAAATGAGTTCTTTTCTTTTTCACAGTTAAGGCAGCAACATTTTCCAAAGGTCTTTGGAAGGCATGGTAAGAAAGTCTTAACCCCACTCAGATTGTTCTATCTTGACTCTCATCAGTGGACAGACTCAGTGGATAAAACTGACTTTAAATCTGTAAGAATGCTGGCAAGTGGTGGCTGCAGATCTTCCAATTTTGTTAGGTTGCTCAGCCGGAGGCTACGTTCATACAACTGTTTGATGCCACTGTTACAAATATCCCTGAACGATGGAATACAATGACATAATTATATACTTCTGGAGAAAAATTTTTCACAAGGAAATCTCCTATCTTTTGGCTTTATTATTATAGATTATGTAAAAAAAATAGAAAATTTTTAAGGGAAAATTACAGTTGAATAGGAAAAAACATATTCAATACTTTTCATTTTTCCTGTATGTCTCATCCATACTGAAAAATTAATTAACTTTTCTCTGAGAAGCTTCAAGACCATGATGTTTATATTTTCTGTGTCCATTTGTCTTTTTCCGTGTAATTTGCCCTAGTTTGAAAATCTATGGCAACAACTTTATTTAGTTAAACAAAAAAAAAAACTTACATTCTGAGATAACTGCTGAATGCACCATTAAGCACAGCATGAAGTTGTTTGACTGATGAAAAATTAGTGCTGTATATATCGTTGTTATCTTCATCGTCAAAGTCACCATTAGCCATGGATAGTAACGAGGGGAGTAGGTCACAGAGATGAAAAAATACTGTGCGAACAATTTTCTTCTTAGTCGGATTACTTAATGTTTCTGAAATCAGTTTTTAAAAAATTTTAAGTTATTAAAAACAAAAGGTTTTACATGTATATATAAAATGAAAAACTTCGCAGCACCATGTTAATAATTTGAAAACTGCATGAAAACTGAATGCAATTTTAGCATGAATGTAACAGGAACATGCAGTTGAAGATTTCATTCTTTTCCAGATTGTAATAGTCATCTGATTGGTTAATAGAAAATATTGAATTATTTTGTGATCACATTAATACACCCCATATAGCTTCTTTTGGAAGAAAATTAAGTGATTTTTTTGCTGTCTAACAGTTGGTAATGATAATTTTATCATGAGTCTGTGGATCTTTCAGAAAGATTAAGAAATTAAATTTGGTGCAAAAGGACTGAACCTCTTTTATTTATTTTGCTTCTGGTTCATCCTGCTTCCCTTTTAAACCTGCCCACCCCACCTCCACTCCCCATGTTTTATATTAATAGTACTGAGTACTAAAAAAGTGTTGTCAAGCCACCAGCTAGCTTTCATGTTTGATGCCTAAACTCAGGTAAAAAGGTAGAATTTTTTTCTTTAGGGGGAGACAACTATTATATTAATCAATACTTAACAGTATGGTGTATGACACTGTCTGTAGGACTATTATTTAAAGGCCTTCAGGTAGATTGTAGGACTGTCTGTAGACATATTATTAAAAGGCCGGCATATATTATAGAAAATGAGAAGTCAACTCTTTTTTTGTAATACTTGGACCCATCGAGTATTTTCTAAAAATATCTAGACCCGGTGCAAAAAAAACTGCACTAAATTAACCCCTAGTCAAGTAATATTTAATGAGGTGTACCTGGACTAAATGACACCTGGGTCGAAATTCAAACAAAAAAAGAGTGCACTGTATTCACACATAGAGAGTTAAATTTGGACAAATTTCGAAGTGTCCCGCCATCTGCACCCTCCTAGGTATTCCATTACATGTGACTACAAGAAGGGTTAATATTAAATTTTATAATGTCAAGACCAAAAAACTGATAGTTTCTTAAATAGTAGTGTGGAAAATACTGTGAGATGCACTACTAACACACAGGGATTAATGAAACATTGGGAAATTGTACCCAGTCAATGGAGTAACAAATGATTTGGCTATGTTTTCAGAACACCCAAAAGCAATGAAAATTATATAAGTGAGCGTTTAGAATATTAGTGAAATGAGGAATAAAAACAAGTCAGACACAGATAAAAAATGAAATGTTATATTCATATTTTATTTTAACTTTTTTTCTATCTGGCTTGGGTCATGTGCTTTGTTTTTGTTTTAAAGAAAAATTCTTTGCACTCAGACATTGCCGCCTTCAGAACTAACGTTGTATAGCTTTATCAGAGGTAAGATCATTAAGTAATGAAATGACTCACTTGTCTCAGACTCCTCAACTAAAGTGTTTATCCAACAGAACTTGACACACATCTGAGACCTCCTCCATCGGATGATACCGTAGATGTCGAAGGCCTTTAGGAAATGCTCTTCCATCTTTTGTTTGAGGTTTCTTTTTCTGGTGTTGTTGACCTAACAGAAATCAATACTGATCATTGATTGTACTTTGGCTACTTGATTGAAAGCTCTCCTGCCTGACCTACTTTTGATGTAAGCCTGGACATATCAGGGCATAACTCCATTTAGAAATGTACACGTTTTAAAAGAATATAGAATAAAAAGTCAAAGTTGGTTTAAAATTTCATAGAGTTGTAATATAAAAATTGGTTATTTAGAGACTAACTTTTAAATTACAATATTTGAAGTTGAATATTAGTACTGTTGAGTGTTCAGACCTTGGTTGTCGACCTAAGGGGGTGCAGGTGTGGGGGGAATCCCACAGTATGGAAACTGAAAAAGGGTTGTGGCGTAGCAGATAGCACAGTGACGATGCTATTTTGAACACTAAGTGATAGTAGTGGTTAGTCAATGTCCATTTCAACAGGGGGGGGGGTTTAGAAAAAATTTTAGTATCAGCCGGATATGGCGGAAACTGACCAACGGTTGTAGCTTAGCAGATAATATCATGGCGAGGCTATTAGGAACTTTAGGTGATAGCAGTGGTTATTTAATGTCCATTTAAATGACCAGAGGCGTTAGAAGAAATTTTAGTATCAGAGATGTAGTGAAGTTTAAAGCCATGTGGGGGGATTTCTAGTGACGCAATGATCAATTCAGGGTCTTATAAAAAGGGACCTTTAGACAGGACTAGATCAGAACTCAACCGGATAGGAAAGCGGACAGTCGGGGAGAGCTCCGACAGATAGGAGTAGATGACAGTAGTGAGGACACGGTGGAAAGGGAGACGAACCAAAGACAGTCAGAATCGAGTGTGAGAGAGAGAGAGAGAGAAGGTGAATTCGATTTTGAAGACAATTAAAAGGTCGAGACTAAAACCATCACCTGAGTTGTCTGATTGGTGAAATATGAGTGACAGTTGAATCAAGTGTTACCATCCAAACAACGAGATGCAGATTGAAGGTTTAACAAAGACGAAACAAGGTGCACCACGGCACTTTTTTCATTTTTAAATGAAAAGATAACATTTGAAGCAGAAGTGCTTATGGTAATGCCTGATGAGCATTCATTAACAAAATTTTCACAGATATTTAGCATGAAAATTTGTTGAAAAATCAATTAAGTATAAGAACTTCTAAATAACATGAAAAGGACAGTAGTTTAAAGTAATGGAAAAGGCCAGTAATTTAAAGTAATGGAAAAAGGACAGTAATTTAAATTGATTGAAAAGGACAGTAATTTAAAGTAAACTGTAATGGAAAAGGACAGTAATTTAAAGTAATGGAAAAGGACAGTAGTTTAAAGTAATGGAAAAGGACAGTAGTTTAAAGTAATGATAAAGGACAGTAATTTAAAGTAAACTGTAATGGAAAAGGACAGTAATTTAAAGTAATGGAAAAGGACAGTAGTTTAAGGTAATGGAAAAGGACAGTAGTTTAAAGTAATGGAAAAGGACAGTAATTTAAAGCAATGGAAAAGGACAGTAATTTAAAGTAATGGAAAAGGACTAGTTTAAAGTAATGGAAAAGGACAGTAATTTAAAGTAATGGAAAAGGACAGTAGTTTAAAGTAATGGAAAAGGACAGTAATTTAAAGTAATGGAAAAGGACAGTAATTTAAAGTAATGGAAAAGGACAGTAATTTAAAGTAATGGAAAAGGACAGTAATTTAAAGTAATGGAAAAGGACAGTAATTTAAAGCAACGGAAAAGAATGTTTTGCAACACCAAAACCTACACAGTTGACACTCTCAACATCAAATATTCTAGCCATGTTCAAGTGATTCAGTCCAGCACAAATCTGACTTTTCTTGACATGCTTGCCCACAGGGTCCAGGAAGCAGTATGACAAAGATTTGTTGATGAGCTCCTTCATTGTGCGTAGATCCTTCAAAATTTAATGTGTAATGTACTTATTACTTTGTGGCTATATGAATGCCTACAATGTATTTATGTCTACAACCTTTTCTAGTTAAAATTTTTTTATTTAAAGTACTACGTCATTAAACTCTTTAAAATTCTTCTTTAAGTATATTAATATTTTGTTGAAGGTAGCAGCTATTTTTTTAAAAAAAAAAAGAATAAACCTAAACATATAGAAGCTTGGCATTTAAAATAAACTTTGAGTGAATAAAAATTAATTGTAAACCTCACTACCATTATCTCACCTGGTCAGTTACTAATCCAGAGGGAATTCTAAAGTACCTTAAGGCCATTTCTTGATATTGCATTCTCATATTGTGATAAATGCTCTCTCTGGCATCATCCATTCCTTCACCCCTCTCATACTTACACAGCCCTTTTTCATACCACTCAATGGCCTGCACGTGAATACAACATATTGAGAAACACTATCAATCATGGGACAGTACATCATACATTATAGTAACTGCCCATTGTCTCTTGCTTTAAAAAATAACATATCAAGTTTATAGGAGATTAGTTTTATTAGTTTTAGTTCTTGAGCCCTTAATTGTTAGAGTAATCATTATTGGACCATTTAGGAAATCATATTAATGTCATTCAAGTACTGGTAATAATTTCAAGTGTGTTTTAAGTTTGTTCCTCACAAATTGAAAAAAAAAAAGTATTGTTTTTATGTGCTATTCGCACCAATGGGCCAGACAAAATAATTTCATTATATCAAAGATAAATTTGCAGAGATGAATAGGTTTAAGAAATTATTTATCTTTAGTGTTCTCTAGACAAACTTCTGCTATAAGGACCATATCTCCAGTGATACAGTGAAAGAAAGGGTTTGTCAGGCAATTGGGGAGTACGATGACCTACTGGTGACTGTGAAAAAAACGCAAACCATACAATGGTACGGCCACGTAACAAGGAAACAAGGGCTTGCCAAAGAAATATTGCAGGGTAACACAAGAGGGGGGAGAAGAAGAGGAAGACAAAGAAAAAGATGGGAGGATAACATCAAAGAGTGGACAGGACTAACACTGGGCGATGCAGTGCCTGGTGCTGAAGACAGAGAGGATGGAAGAGGATGGTTCACATGTCATGTGGCGCCACAACGGTCCAAGGACTAAGGGACATGAGGAGGAGGATGAGGAGACAAACTTGGTGTCAGGGAAGGGGGGGTGTTAAGTGTTATAATTCTTTTCATTAATGACCAAATAAACAAATGACATCACATGTCCACCTACTTTGGCAAGAAAATCTTTTTCCTGGGTAGAAAATACATTGTCTTCTGAAGAGTTGTGTACACCAGCTGCTGCTACCACGTGGAGATAAGCGACATTGCTGCAGATGTGACCAGCCGTGTTTCTGTCATTCACCGACTCAAACATCCTTATAGCCTTCTGATAGCTTTTCAAACTTTTTTCCCAGACATTTTTTATATTTTCATAATTCTCTTTCCCATCTGTAAAATTTAAACAATGAAAGAGTGAGGGTGAAGTAAATGTTTATAATCAACAACAAAATTTCTACGGAAACCTGGATACAATAAGGGGAGTTAATCAAAACTTCAGGAAACAATTTAAGAACAGTAGCAAAAGCAAGACAAAAATATCTAAATTAAACCACCTGCTAAATCATTTGGAAAAACTCTAGGTTTTAATGCAACTCAAATTATCTGGAAATTAAAACTTGGATAATGTCATTCTAAGTAGCCATTAAAACTGAAATTTACAATTTTCTCCAAACCGTTACAGAATTATTTTTTTTCATAATTAAAAAATTCCATCAATTTTTATTTTTTAATAAAAACAATAATAAACTAACAGAAAGTGTATACAATTGTTACTGGCATCACCTGGAAAACCATATTGTACACTTTATCAGGGTTAGCTGAATTTGAAGAAGATCATTTCCAAAAATAAATGACAGCCTTTTATATGAAACCTGAGATTGCTTTTTTAGCCTGTACATAATCTATTGTCAGTTACCAATTTGGCATAAGTACAGACATCATCACAGTAAACATTTAATAATTGTATCAATAATTACTGCATTTATCTAATATACAATTAATGTGATTCAGTTGAAGCTACAAGTAAGTTCAGTGTATCAAATAAAATTTTATTGCAATGAAAATTAATTTTAAAATCTGGCTGGTCATATTTAACAAAATGTTTGGGAAACAAATAACTTTCAAACGCTGCCATGGGTTTCATGTGGCAGGTCAAATGCTGTAACTGGTGTGTCAAAATCCAACAGGCGAGATCGTGACAGTGAATAAAGAAAAAGTAATCTAAATTTTAAAAAAAAAATAATGTTCTCTTGGCTTGGCACAAATAGTTTTCATTTTAGACAAATTTTAAAGAAAAATTGCTGCCTAATGTGCAGCAAGAGCTGTTGTTGACTATCACTGGAACTCTAAATGGTTGTACTTACTCGTGACCTTTTCCTTGCAGATTTCCATTTGAGTATTACCAAGGTTCATAACACAAAGGGCGTGGTTTTTCTTCATCAAAATTCTGAAGTTGGTGGGTTTCTTTTCAAGGACAGGCAGTCTGAAGGCTTGCTCATACAACTCATTGGCAGTCAGCATGTTTGACTCCTGACTGTTGGGCCAGTCATAGACCCAGGCGTTTTCTGGTTTCAGAAAGATAAACAACTGACAAATCACTTCAATCTTGTAGAAAAAAATTTAAATTATAAAAATAACATTTACTTAAACACTCAATAACAAAGTACAAACTCTTAGTTTTATTTGAAGTGGGCAATAGTTGGGATTAACAAGGTGAAGATAAATGTGCAGTTTCCTCCTGAGAGGAGAATTAATGATTTCTATGATAAAAGTCTGGATACAATAGCTCAAATCAGTATAAAAATAGAAAGCAACAGCTTTTAGCGACTTAAATATGTTATCATGGAGCAAAGCATGCTTGCCAAAGGATGCTTGAGTATTTTGTACATTGTTGTCTCACTGATAAATTCAAGGAAGGGGGGTACCATATAATTTTATACAAGATCTTTGAAAATGAAACATAATAAAAATCTGTTGCGCTGATAGAGAAACATTGATTCAGCTTACTTGGTGTGGCCACAACAGCTTGTGCAGAATGTAAGATGGCTGCTTCTTCCTCCCCGAGCTCCTCAAAGTCCCTGTGGCACTGGTGCCAGTTGAACAGCATACAGCAACGAGCTTGGGCAGCCAGGTATAACAGCATCAAGTACATTTCCTTGTGGCTACTTTCGTCCTTCATACTTTTGTTCATCAATTCTATTGCCTCTAGGGGAAGAGAGAGAGGGGGGAAGTAGTTCTCTATAAAACACTATTGTTTTGACTACCTCACAAATATTCCATAGCCAAAACTCAATGTGCATAGATGAGACCAGCAAACTGCTGTCTTTTAATTCACAAAGTTCATTTTTTATTCATATAAGAAAGGTTAAAAAATGTTCCATTCATGCATGAGACAAAAATGGAAAAAGAAAAAAGTTACAAATTCCATAACTAAAAATGGTATAGATCCAGAGGGATAAAGACTCTAGCTGATTTAATCATTAGATTGCCTCTATAAACATCAGTGATAGAAATATTGATATTTTAAATTAGACATTTTTTAAGCTGAATTCCACATAGAATATCTTCTCAAACAGTGACAGCTTTTATAAATTAAAATTTAATTCAAGTGCTATTCATTATTCATTTATTTAATAGTTGTCCCATGACTTTACATCTATTCTTACATACCATAACAGTGCACAGCATAGCGTAAATGTCTAAGAGTGTGACCGTATTTCTTGATCTCAAAAAACTCTTTGGCCAGAACAAAATATGTTATGGCCGCTTTCCTTAAAAGGTCAAATTTAGCCTGAACATGCCAGGTTTCCAAGGTTAATTTCTCACTGCGAACACTGCCACTGGATGACTCTGTCTCAGATTCTGACTTGAAAACATTGGGCTCCCAAACTGCAGCCGGTACCATTCTGCAGGGTTCTTGGGACATGGCGTTGACATTCAGGTGGCCTGGGGTCTCAGACGGTGGTGGTCCCATTCTGCAGGGTTCTTGGGACATGGCGTTGACATTCAGATGGCCTGGGGTCTCAGACGGTGGTGGTCCCTTTCTGCAGGGTTCTTGGGACATGGCCTTGACATTCAGATGGCCTGGGGTCTCAGACGGTGGTGGTCCCATTCTGCAGGGTTCTTGGGACATGGCCTTGACATTCAGGTGGCCTGGGGTCTCAGGCGGTGGCCCGGCATCTACCGAACTTTCTGGTGGTTTGTTCAGAGGTGTGTAGTTAAGCGGTATTGGTGTCAATGGGTTACACATCTGGGGCTCCTTGGGCTCCTCCCCTGTTGTCTGCTCTGCTCTGTCCTGCGTGTGGATGTTGAGGGGCTGATAGTAGAGTGGTATGGCCTTAGATGGGCTGCAAGTCTGCTGCTTTTCTACCAGACCTATATTTTTACCTTTAGATTGATCTTTATCTACACAGTTAAGGCCCTGTAACATCAAAGAGGAAAAAATGTTATGCTTATGATACAACTTGAGCACAAACATGAAAAAGTTAAAATCCTATAGACCCTTTACAACAACCTAAAAGACATGGATCCCTCATGGTTTTACAGTGAGGCAACTGAACCCCCTGAATGAATTAATTCATAGAGCTTATTAACAGAGTCTGATATATACCTGAGTAGTTGTAATTAGTGGCGACTGTCATGGAAAGATAAATATTTTTGTTATGATTTAGAGAAAAAGATAAGAAAAAAAAATGAAAATAATTTGTGATTTTATCCTAAAATATTTTGAACGTATTCATAAAAACAGATTACAGGTAACCTCTAAGCTTTCACAGTCTTTGAAAATTAATTTTTGTTCACTTACTTTGCGAATGTGGGATAATGCCACATGACACCTTTCATCGGTTGTTCCAGCGATGCGACAAGCGTGCACAACTTCCCATGCCTTTCTCTTGATCATGCCTCGCACCACCAGCTCCTTCAGGGCCACGGAGTTCTTCATCACCTCCCCATCCCGGCACCCGTCCCCCAAGGACTCCTGGCCCCCTTTCACGGCTTTGACAAATTCTGACTCCTTGTTGTCAATACCTTTTCTTGACTGTACATCAGTCCCACTACTCTCATCTGAGCTAGTCTCATCTTCATCATAAAGATCCACAGGCTGATGATAAAGAATTATTTCAAACTTAACTAAGAGAATAAACCAGCAAAAAAAATTAACTTCACACATTATGAAAAAAAAATATGAATGAATAATCACAATATTCTGTTATTCACAAAGCTTTCTTTTTATATTATTCCCAATTATTAAATTTGAAATGAGTTAATGAGGGTTTATTTTTCTAGCATCTGAAATGTATGCATGACATTTATCCTTTAGAAGGGAGCATGCTCCAGATAAAGAAAGTAAATATAAACATTTCCCCAAATAATTTTTTTTTATGCTGAATTATGATTTTAAATATGTTTAAAACAGCTCTTTTAGTTTCTACATTTTATTGATGTACTGATTTTTTAATAAAAATGATTATGTAGTATATTATAAAAAAACTAAGTCTCATATAAACAGATAAGGTTAGTTCTACAGGTAGGTTAAGATATGCAGGTAAAGATAAGGTATACAGGGAGTTAAGTTGTACCGGTTCTGAAATTTTTCCTTTCTCTTGCCAAACATCATTAACTGATTTATCAGGCACCCACATGTCACACAGGTGGAAGTGGGCATCCGCACACACCTGAAACAAGGTAAGTAAGAATAGGCAGGTAATAACACATTCGAGAAGAACCTACAGACATAGCATCCATCTAACATAAAAATAGTTGTGATATTATTTCCTGCCATGATTATGTTAACGAAATCATTAAAAAACATGAATGATGATTAGAGTAATGAAAACTTCAAACACACATTTTAAACGTTAATTACCTGGTCAATGTAAATGATTAACATAAAGATTTCCATTAGGGAAACACACATTGTTAAAAAGATAATGTCGTCATACTTGAGCATGTTTTGTTTCCTCCAAAAGCCTAAGACAGTTTTCAAACATTGCACGTGCGTCTGCCATTCTTCTCTGTCCCGACCTCTTCAGGTTCCTCCCCACGCGGTGGCACAGTAATCCAACAGGAACGGTGAACGGGTTGTCTCCTTCTGCTATCTCATTTTTACAGTAATCTGTCAGGTCATAGAGCTTCACCATCTCATCATTTTGACCTGAGGCCAAGGCAAACAAAAAAAAAAAATCAAAATATTTCTGGCCTGCTGGTGTGCAGATGAATCGAGACTTACGAAAGATCAAAAGGCACCAAAATAATAATACAGGTAATGAATAATTTCTGCACTAAATTCACTAGTTGTATTATTGCGACTTCCATGTGATCCCCTTCCTCCCCCTTCTCAAAATCAGAGCTTCCAATTTAATACTTTCATATCTTTCACCTGGTGCCCATCAAATGATACTGCGGGTATGTTGTTTCTTAGTCGTAATCAAACTTATCGGAACAATCAAAATGTTTTAACACCTTATAATTATGACCCCAATACATTTTTGAAACAATCGTTATTGAGAAATCCTTTTACTTTTATAGAGCCAATATGTGTGACCCTCCACTGCAGCATTCCTTTTGATGAAAGACATAATGTTTTGGGCAATGTCAAGGACTTCATTGGGATCAAATTTTGAGTTCTCCAAATTTGGAATGTCCTCTGTCCGCATCACTTCATATTTCTTGATGGAAGATACAATATAATATTTTTAAAGTGAAAAATAAAGAGTGTGAAAGCTCAGACTAATTCAACATTCTGTACATTTTTGGTTTACTTTTATGATGTGTTTTAATAGTAAAAAGATATAAACATATGCAGTTATTTTTTTTATGTCAGGCACAAATATATTATAAAATAAGAGTTGATTTATTCTACAGGAGGACATGTTATTTTGACTTTAAATAACTCATACATTTTTTTTTTTAATTTTCTTAAAACCCCATGGTACAAATCTGTGTAATCAGATGGTTAAAAATGTAAAAGATGTTTAATTAATTATAGCCTGAAGAAGTTTAAAAAAAAATCAGTTGACAAATTATATGGATGAAATTATATTGAAAGCCCCTCATTTAACAAGAACTCATCACCTGCACAAGTCCATTAACATGGTAACACATGGCCACCTCGGGGACATTGCTCATCAAGTTATCTAGCCAGTAATCCAGTCCAGTCAGGATATTAATGGGTGGAGATCTGGCATCTCTAAGACGAAGACTGATACATGGACGAGGTGTTTCTCCACTACCGAATATTGGAAGGTCACTGTCTATCAACATACTGATGTCTTCAAACTTCCACAGTGTTTCATGGTGGAAACCTTTTAAATCCTAAAATTGTTGATAAAAGTTTATCATAAACTACTTCACATAAGCTCATAAATATATTCATTATGGTTCAATGTTTTTAAGACATATAGATTGATCAAAATGGTTTAAGGTTTCAGCCTTTTAAGATATGCCAATAAAATTTTAATTTTCTACCAGTTTTGTTTTTTAAATTTGAGTTAATGAACAGATTATAATAATAATTACAAGGACACATTCAGATTAGTAAGGCCCAATGATTCTGGTAATAAGTCTAATGTTAGATACCCTTAAATTATATTTTTGACATCTAAATTCTATTTGAATCAAGCTCTACTGCAGTGGTTCTCAACCTTTCTAGTGCAGCGACCCCTTAATACAGTTTCTCGTGTCGTGGCGACCCCCCAGCCACACAATTATTTTCGTTGCTACTTCATAGCTGTTAGGATATATGTTTTCAGATGGTCTTAGGCGACCCCTGGAAAAGGGTACCGCGACCCCCAAAGGGGTTGCAACCCACAGGTTGAGAACCGCTGCTCTACTGCATAATTTGTTCCGGGCTGGTTTCTGGTTTAAGAGGGAGGGGGTGGGGGTGGAGAGTGAGAGAGAGAGAGAGAGAGAGAGATTGGACTTGCCTCTGAGCTTTCTGGTATTGGATGAACTTGCTTTGATTTGTCCTCTGCTGCTTGGAGTGCAGTGCATTGCTTGTCACCAATGCTAGCTGCAAAACTGTTTGATCATTGTCATTTATTAAATGAGAATTATCAAAATGATTGTGAAGTAAGTTAAAGAGTATTTTTTTTCAAAGAATTTCTGTTTATNATATATAATTGATATTCTGGATTAAAGCAGCACATTCAATGGCCAAAATTGTCATCAAATAGACACAACAAATTATTATCATATGTATGTACACAGTAACTTTAAGTATATATTTAAAAATAGATCAGTATAAATAGACATCTTTTTCTCCCCATTACAAGAAAATTGTAGATATGTAAAACAAAGTATAGTGATGACATGACTTTGTGTTACGATTCATTTCAAAATCTAATGGTGTTTATGCTAAAAATATGCTTCATGAAAACAAGAGAAAAACCATCATGTCAAAACTAAGACAATTATCCAAGTGTTATAAGATGTTATAAAAAGTGTTGGACTGCTCAAGTTACAGGTATGACTAGACAGGATTCTTTTAAAGCTACTCATACTGACGCTAGGGGTAGGTCTAAATTTATTTTAACTTTTCACCCCCATAACCTAAATGCTCCTTTTCTGGTTCTGAAAAACCGCTCCATTCTTATGGCAGACCCTGTCACCAATGAGATTTTCAGAAAACCTCTTTTCGCTTTTCAGAGGGACAAGAGCCTTAGGGACATGCTAGTTAGAAGCCACCTCCCGGCTATTAAAGCACATAAAGGCACTAAAAGTTGCAATTGCAGCCGTTGTAATACATGTCCTTATGTGATTGAAGTTGATAAGATCACTTTCCCTCTGGAAATATTCAGAATAAAAGATGGCTTTATCTGCACAACTCGCAATGTGATTTACACCATCCATTGTAAAAAGAGCGGTAAATTATACGTAGGAGAGACAGGTCGTCACCTTGGAGACCAGTTTAGAGAACACCTCTATAACATAAACAGGCTCTCTGTCCGGTCTCCAAACATTTCAATAGCACTAAAAATGATGGAATGTAAAACATCGCAGTTACTGGTATACTGTATACTAGTAACACATCGGATAGGATCTATATGGAGAGTAAATTGATAACAAGATTTGGTACATTGACTCCATACGGGATAAACCAAATCCACAATTTAATGTAACTGCCATGTCTTTTTCCTGTTTGGTTTTTACATTTTATTCCAAGTCACTTTCTTTCTATTCTTCTTTACTTTGTTTCTGTCTGGGTTTTTGCGCCCACTCCTATTTTTTCTCCCTTTTTTAGGTAGGATATATGTGTATATATATATATTATGTGAATTTAATTTATACTTATTTAAATGTTTTGTTGTTGTACTGATGAATGGATGAGACACGTAGCCTGTATGGAAGACCACCGGCTCCCAAAACATATTTTCTTTGGAGAACTCACGATAGGCAAGCGCTCCCAAGGAGGCCAAAAAAATCATTACAAAGACTCACTGAAAGCAGCACTAAAGGCCTTCAGCATCAACTCTACTAAATGGGTGCAGACAGCGCAGGACAGAGCCAGTTGGAGAGCAGCTATCAAGAAAGGGGCTTAAATATCATGAAGCCAGGAGGATAACCCCGAAAGAGCAATAGTAGATCACCGACTGCAGCAACTATCTCCTGCCCGCGGTGTCAGAGATTTTTCCGAGCAAGGATCGGTCTAGCAAGCCAACTACAAGCTCACCATAACCCACCCTCCCCTCTAACTGGATGTCTGGATGGTCCTAGTCGATTTTGATGGACGAACAACAAAAACAATATTTTTTTTACATGACATACCTGTGACGAATTAGATTCATGTACATGTTTTCTGTAAAAGAATCTCGTTTGGGATTTGCACTGACCAACCATTTGGTCTGTAAAAAAATTAATAAATGAAACATCTAATTTTAGTTGAATGTTGAATAAACCCAAAGGTTAAAGGTAGTTTTCCATATAAAGTCAACATAAAAAGATTTGTTACAAGTTTTTGGTTTAATGGTGGCTAAAAATAAGTAAATTAAAAAATTCTAATTTTGAAATTACCTTATCTTCTTGTCCCTTGACAATGACATTCTGGAAATATGATTTTAGCCAACTCCACTCCTCCTGTAAATGAACCACAATGAACTTATATAAGACTATGTTAGGGACTGTCATGTACCATAATTACTTATAGCTATGCTTCAATATACAGCTGCACAAACCATTTACACCAAAATTACATTTTAAAGTAAATGTTCTAATTGGTAATAAAATTTAAAACACACTCAGTAATACCAAAAACACTAGATTTCAATCAACATTTTTTATAATGGTAGCGTACTAACCATTCATCACTTTATAAACTGCTTTAAAAAAAAAATTAAAAAATTCTTAGTTTGTGTTGGGTCAGCAAGAAAAAGGAGCTATTACAATTTGGGAAACACTGAACTTGTTTTATTTATATAAAAACAATAGTTAACAACAATTACATGCAATCTATGTCAACATATTTTTTGCACACTGGATCTAAAAAACAGTGAATCCAATCAGTAATATGAACTTACTGCCTGCTTCTTGATTAGGTTTTTGTGGACATCAAATTCTTCTAAAAGCAATGTTTTTCTAAGCCTGTGAACCATGATGCTGATATGGGGGGAGTCAGTGTATGGCATCTTTAACAGGGCTTTGATATTCTGGAATAAAGCAGCACATTCAAAGGTCACATAGTCATCAAATGAGCTCCGCAAATATTTTAGATCTGGTGATTAAAAAAATCTACAGACTAGGTGCACTACTTGCACTGAGATGGCCCAGTGTAGGGAAAAAGATGTTGCTGGGTGTTGCTGTTTACCTTTGAGGAGGATATGACATCTACTTGTCCAACCAAATCTTGATAAGCATCTGCCATGTTTAAACTAAAAAATAATGACATATTTCTGAATAATTTATTCCAGTTGAGCATCAGCATTGCATTTGTATAATTAAATTAACATAAAAAGATAAGTATTCCTAGTATAAGTTTAAAATAATTGGTGTAAAGACCAAATTCATTGACCTAGATTTTATAAGGGGCATTCAACTGATGACATAGATTTGTAAAAATATTTTAGGTTGGTACAAAAAAAATATCAAAATCAGAAGCATTTATATAAAAATTATTTATTCATTTAACAGTTTGCCTAACTGTAAATAAATCCTTCTCATCTTGGATTGAAAAATTGCAATCAAATTTTATATTACGCAATATCTGTATGTAACAGGAAACCCATTACCTTGAAAACTCAGAAAAATGTGCAGTATTTTGTTCCATGTGTTGATCAGAGAACATGTAGTACCCAGAACACTGCCTATCACTGGGAGGGTGATTGAGATCTGTGTTAAGGCGAATGGTTGAAAACTGAACTGGAAATTTAACAGAGCTGTATTTGACCACAGCCGTGGACTTCACATCCAAGAAGACCTCTGAATTGGCAACAGGTGCCACTGAACCAAGGGTCTATTAGATAAAAAAATAGTTATCCTCTTTTGTAGGTAAAATCAACAGCAAAAAAATAATTTTCTTCAAACTGACAATCAAAATTATTTAAAATAGACTAAATAGAGAGCAAATAGATAATAACTATGAATTATACATAATTCAATTATAGCATATATTCATCCAAATAATTTTAACCTGAAGTGATGAACATAGAAAATATTGAATAAAAGGAGTTAAAATTTATGGTTACTTATATTTATATTTTAAAAAGCTTATACCGGTATGTAATAATGACATTGATTAATAACTAAATTACCATCATCATAGATTCCAGGGACTTTTCTTCTGTAAATTCACTTGATGAGGATGTCTTAGTTGTGCTCTTTTCATCCATTTTGTACTGTTATTTATTAAATGGTGGATGATGTTTACTAATCTAAGTATTCTGATTCAGCACTGCACATTCACTTCTCATACATGGTATTGTAACATTACCTAGAAAGAAACTGGAATTAACTCACTCAAGTTTGTCAGTTAAAAAGACTTAGGCCAAATAATACATTTTACAAAGTTATTGAAAGTTAATTTGCATGTTGTAGTTAATTATTCTGCATAGTCCAGGTAGGTTGATTAGCCCAGTGTTTCCCAAACTTAAGTTTGATGGACCGGTTGACAAGTTTTCGACTGAACAAGAGACCAGTGTTTGATTTATTCATTATTTTTTCTTTAAATACATCAATAGTATAGAACCTTGTGCCAGTCTAACGAAACACTTTGAGTAACACTGTATTAGCCTTATCATTTTCAATAAAATTAATAAAAATTAAATAATCTGTTTTTATAACCAACTGTTACTGATGGCACTGAACCAAATTCCTGTGTGAGCATTCTTACTCTGGTACATCTCAGTTATATAAACATGTAAGAAATGTTTCTCAATCTCGATTGCCATTGCCAAAGAAATTTATTCCTTGGTGTGTGTGTCACATGTCTATAGAACGCCACTCTTTTTAGGGGTATAATTTTTATTCAAGAAGTTGACTCAGTCTCTGGGCATCAATCAAACTTCTGACCCTGACTATTGATATTTAATGGGCTATTGGCAATTATAAAATAAGTTATAATAATATAGGGGAAGAGAATGCAGTTAGGTTAAGTAGTAGGCAATAAGCAAAACAAAGTAGGGGAAAACCTGAAAATACGCAAAAAAACAACACTATGTCTATGAGTTGGCAAGAAGCCTTCTTCAGCGAGCAAACAGTGAAAACAATGTTACTCAGCCTTTGGCCTTTGGTTAGGTCTAGCAACTAGGGCTAGAGCGCCTAGGGCTAGATCTTGACACAAAGTAAACCATTTTAGAAAAATCGTTCATTACCAATGGTATCCACACTCAAGACTCCATTCATCTATGTCATAAACTGAATCCTTACCAATTGTATCTAATAACGTTCATTACCAATGGTATCTACACTCAGGACTCCATTCATCTATGTCATAAACTGAATCCTTACCAATTGTATCTAATAACTGTCAAAAATTTCATCAAGATTGCCATGGACTCGGCCAACACATAACTTTTGAACATCATCTTTCTATGAAAGAAGATATATCTCTTTTATTCAGCCGTTCAGTGAACTATAAAAGTACTAATATACCGGTAATATTAAGTGATCATCATCTGTACTGTGGATTTCTAATGCTAATAGCATGGCTACTTGGATTATCAATTTCATGGATTGGATCATGGATGATTGGATTTAACATTTGTGATTAGCGTTTTTTCAATGCGACTTATCCATTATGATCCATTATTTTATAAATCTTTTCTGTGGAATTATTCACAGTATTAGTATTAGATCACTATATGATTGTATTGTATACATTAACTCAATAATTTGAATTGGTAATATTTATGCAATTTGAATTTTTAATGCACAAACAGGCTAAATTTTGAAATTAAATCTACTCACTCTCTGTTGCTCAAACTCAAATGCCACTGATTTAATTCATTTATTGATGTATTAATATTTAAATGGCTTATTATAAAAGCCCAATGCCTAATTAAATTATGTTGAAAATGTGAAGTCTTTACTTTAACTTTAAAGGTAAAAAAGTTATGGCATTTTGAGTATTGAGAACTAGCGCCGTAACCTCTGTTAAATCTGTTTGTCACATCGCACTCATTAATTAATATATTTATAGTGTAGTATTTTTAATAACAATGATTTATTATTAAAGCCCAAAACTTAATTGAAATGCCTTGTAAATTTCAGAGCTTAACTTTGCTGAATATCGCATTTTGAGTGTCTAAGATTAGATGCCTTTTTCTGATCACAGAATTTTGGAAATTATTTACTAAGGCATCTAAGGCTATATATAAGGAAACCTTCTGACACTAAAAATGCGATAACTTTTTTTTCTAATTAAGATAAACTTGGTATCAATGGAAAGGAAATACTGAGTACTTTCTAATTTTCCTTACATAACAACTTTTAAATTTTTGTCAAGTACCTTTGTTTGACTAGGCCTAGGGCTAGATTAGATATAGATAATTTCTGATACCGGTGCAGTGGCTACAAACTTTTATTATGGATGTCTAAATGCCTTTAGCCTTTAATGCAGCTTGTGCTCCTTTCCGAAGATTACGCTAGATTTGGCTATATATATTATTATTAATATTGCATTTGCATTTTATTTTTCAAAGACCATCGCCATCATTCTATTAAAAAGAAGGGAGACAAAAATTAATTGTAAATCGGTGTAAAAAAACACCAGTAAATGTCATAAAATACCAAAATACAACATTAGGTACGCTTACTTATTATATTATTAAAATTAACAAGAAAAATAAAGGCCTCATACTCATTCGAAAAAAATAACAAAACAAACAACACAAAAACAATAATTAAATGCGCAGTTTTTAAAGGCATAATAGGCAGATTGTCTTTTGTTTTCATTGTTTTATAGTTTATTTTAAATGAACTTTAAAAGAAGCCCTTATCTTTAAGCGTATCCAATATTGAGGATTGTCCGTGATAATATTTTATAGAATAAACTATTCGAATAAATAAAGCAGCTGCTGACTTTGTTCATATGATAAGTGGGATAATGCCATGGAAATACATCAATCCAAATGTTGTTTTTTTTTAACCCTGTATCGCAATTTAGTCGAACCTTTCAGCACGTAAGAGCTACCAGACCTTGGGAACTTTCCCAGGAACTTGGAAATTCACGATGCCCTTTGGGATCTGGGGAATAATTTTGAAATTTGGACGAAACCTTGGGGAAAATATAAGGGTAATAAGGGGAGAGACTGCAATCAGGTTAGCAAAATAGGAAATTTGTAAAACAAAATAAGGTAAAACCTGAAAAAAGGAACGCAACAAAACAACGAACGTGTCGGCAGGAAGCCTTCGTCAGCGAAAAAACAACATAAAAAACAGAATAAAATTTAAAAAGCAGCACTTTGCTGAGAAGTAGTATTCGTGAGGCAGCAGAAGAATTGTCAATTGATAGACAAAATAGCGTCAAAATTCAAAATAGTCTATGAAAAATAAAATGGCTTTAAATAATTTTATTCAAAATAGGATCGCATTTCATTAAAAGTTTCAACTAATAACTTAATAAGCATATGCACTTCTATTGCACATTTTGTTGGTATTTTTACCCTGAGCATGTGGTAGTATGGTTAAATTTAAGAGGGAAATAAGGGGATATACTGCTATCAGAGCCGTCCATAAAGTACGTCACGCTATTTTTGACAAATTTTAACCCCCCCTCCCCCCTGTCACAAACTGTCACAAGTCTCGAGCGCCCTGCACCCCCCCCTAAAGGGGATATACTGCTATCAGAGCCGTCCATAAAGTACGTCACGCTATTTTTGACAAATTTTAACCCCCCCCCCCCCCTGTCACAAACTGTCACAAGTCTCGAGCGCCCTGCACCCCCCCCCCCCTAAAGTACGTCACACTTTCGAACAAATTTAAAAAAAAAAAAATTAACACCTAATTAAAATTTAATCTAAAACACACTTCACTATTTCACTTAATTTCAACTATCACATTATTAAAATGACTTTAGAATAGTTAATTGTCAACAGTTGTCACAGTTATTCATTGAAGCAGTAACTCAATCTAGATTGAATTTGAAAACAAAAATTGCAAAAATTTGACTAGACAATTATATAATACACATCATTTATCTGCTGCTTTTTCGTTTACAATAGTTGAGGTCAAGTTTTAGATAATCTTCCGATTATGCAATCTTTTTATACAGGTTAAGAAGTATATTAGAGAAACTTGACCTCACCAAATGATTAAATAATAAAAAGGACAGTGACATAATTATTCAGCGGACAACATAGAAACAATAATACTTCAGGAAAGACGAAAGCAAGGCTAAACATAAAACAAGGCTTCGCCACAGCATACTAGCGCTCCTAGCGAGAGGAATCGTGAACAACACTTTCAGGAGATACACATTTCATGCTATTTCGACATCAAACTAATTAAAATGACACGCAAAATTTTTGAAAAATATTTTTAAATCTATCAAATTCCACTAAAATAAAAATTAATTCAAAATAAAATGTAACAAAAAATAAATGTGTGACGTCAAACATGGCCTGACCCCCCTCCCCCCGTCACAAACTGTCACACTTTCTTACACCCCCCCCCTCTCTGGAGCGTGACGTAGGCCTACTTTATGGACGGCCCCTCAGGTAGCGGTCGCAAAACCGGCCCCTTTTGCCTTTTGCCAAAACCGGTATTTTCAATATTGAAGTTTACGAATACCAGAAACCCGATATTTTCGATATTCTCGACATTTTGATAATTTTAGTTGAGATTCGAGGTTAGAGTTGAGGATTTATCAATGAAATAAAAAAATTCTGACAAAACATCACATTTTGATTTTTAATAAGCTTTTAACAATACACAAATGTTTAACTTCAGACTATAATCAAACGAACCAAAAGAATATTCTTAACTTTTTAATTTAAATAGTCTTATTAATCAAATGTTTAAATAATTGGTGTTGTTTTGATCTTTGGTCAAATTTAAATAATGAAATCGTAAACTTGACAAAGTGTATAATTTTTGGCCACTAAGCTCTGACCACAAATTGTTACAAATGTAACCTGATGAAGAGAACCCCCACTCTGGCTCCACACTGGTCGGGGGATTAGACCTTAGGCCATCATACGCAATTTCTAGATATTTTCCTCTTGAACCGCCATTCTCAAATAAAGCCATTTCTATTTTTACCAATGTATCAATGTCTCCATCCGTTGGTCTGGAAGTGTTATCCAGAGCCTGAAGTTTCTTTTGTATTTCAATTTCAAATTATCTCTTAAGCGGCAGTGTGTCTTCAAGTTCATCATGCTCAGATCCAAGATGTTTAATTTCATTGTACGTAGATATTTCCAACGAGGAATCCGCTGTCTGACCAAGCTTTTGAATATCCACGAAATAGCACTTAGCTGCCCTCTTGGAGACTACTTCTAAGCTAAGTGCTATTTCTTAGTTTTTAATTTTATTCTGTTTTTTTTTTCTGTTTTGTTTGCTGACGAAGGCTTCCTGCCGACACGTTCGTTTTTTTTTGTTGCGTTCCTATTTCAGGTTTAACCTTACTTTGTTCAATAATTAAATTTTCATGGTTTAATTTAAATAGCCTAACTCCAGTGTATTTTGATATTTTGCATTAAAAAATTTTAAAATTCATAAGTTGTATAATTTCTTTGAAATGATGAGCCTGTAAAAAATTTATTATTAAATAACTTTCAGTCAATTGATGTAAGTTGTGTTTCTGAGGCATTAATTCAAGCTATTATGCATTAATCATTAATTATAATTAGTACACTATTTTTACTCTCTTGTAGAAATTTACCTTGAGAAATCTTGGGATTTTTTGTCTCCAAATCTTGGGTAATTTGAAAATTGAATGGTAGCCCTGATCAACAAATCTATTTCGGTTTTGAGTTTTGAGTCGCAAAGACGTAGTTGGTCACTGTGACTGGTAAAAGAAATACCGTTTTATAAAGATATTCAAATACGAGCTTGTGTAGATTTTATTAATCACCTTAGTAGTAATAGTCTTATAATTATTACTCAGAAAAGTTAATTAAATGTAGGTGTCTCTTTCAGTATTTGTTGCGATGACTTACTTACTAATGTAAGTAATGGGTAAGTTTTTCATTGTATTATTAATATTATTGTATTGTAATTAACAGTAATTGTAATGACAATAATGTTGTTTGTCAAGTCAAAAACCAAATTATGATTAATTAATGAATAAAATGTCAATCCATTATTATTATTATTAGTCATTGAATTGTATGTCAGGAGTCTTTGCCTGTAGTGACACTATAGAGTCTGTGACTAAGACTATGACTATGAGTAAGACTGTGATACAAATACAATATAATATAGTGACTAAGTGACTATTATAGTTATAGTGTAGGCGGAGGCCTATGCCTATAGCCTATATTATTATTAATTGTCCATAATTATATACTTGGAGGCTGTATAATTAAGAATAAGAGTTTACGGTTCTTATTCTTATTACTTAGATTAGGCAATCCTCCAAAGTCCGGTCCCAAATTATTGCGTATGAATCATGAACAAAATTGCAATGCACAGTGTCTATTGTTAGAAAACAGCAGAAATGTCAATCATAGCTTTTGCAAATAAATGTCAGTTTACAAACCAGTCAGTAAATACTAAATATTGTATTTGTAATTGGCACATTACATTTGCAAATAGCAGCCGAAAACGTTCTGCTTGTTACTGTTGCGCCACTGAAGGCTCCAAGTAGCTGGCAAACAGACCGTGACTAGTACCACTCTGATAGGGACTAGTACCACTCTGATAGGGACTAGTACCACTCTGATAGCGACTAGTACCACTCTGATAGCGACTAGTACCACTCTGATAGCGACTAGTACCACTCTGATAGGGACTAGTACCACTCTGATAGCGACTAGTACCACTCTGATAGCGACTAGTACCACTCTGATAGCGACTAGCACCACTCTGATAGCGACTAGCACCACTCTGATAGCGACTAGCACCACTCTGATAGCGACTAGCACCACTCTGATAGCGACTAGCACCACTCTGATAGCGACTAGTACCACTCTGAATACAGAGTTTACGTTTCGCTTGCACCCAAAGTCCTTCAGTAGTTTCTGTGTGAATGTCCTGGTCTACTGGATCAACAAATTCACGCGCATGCACAATGACAGCGTGAGCATAAATCCTGTTGTTGAGCTGACCGACATTTTGATATCCTCGCCCGTCGCTCATCGTCCGTGACGATAGTTGTCCCTGGTAACACATGATTAGTGAAAATGCGCTCGAGTGTTTGTGAATCTCGACGGCCGGCAACCTCCATCCAACATCGTCCACTACCGCAAACATGAATTTCAAAACAGAATGATGCCCAAGACTTTTAAGTAAGGAGTAATCATTGGAAATAATTTGGGACCGGACTTCGGAGGATTGCCGTGCCCTTAGATTAACTATAATGATAATCTAGTCTATAGTTACTTTTATTAGTTTAGTATTCATTATTTATTAGTTATTAATATTAGTAGGACTAAGACTCTTAGTAAGAGTAAGAGTCTTCAAGACAATTAAAGTAAGTTTTATTAAGCCTGCTTAGTCTTTTACTTTTAGAGATGAAAGATATAGGCATATAAATATAGGCCTATTTTGAGAACTACGTTTTGATCAGAAATTTCAAACACTGCAAGTTTTAAATTTCCATTTGTTTTGTCTTGTCTAGTCTGCTGAAGAAGAAGGTGTTTGAGTGAAACGTCCTTGTAATTGCCCTGTATTTTTTTTCAAGCATAAACATATCTTAATCTTGTTCCACTATTTATTTACTTTGCATGACTTGAATGCAGACCCTCATATATTATATTAGTTAGTGAGTTGGGTATGTAACTAACTTAGGCCATGTTATTACCTAACTGTATTTGAATGAAATATTAAGACTAAGTTTGAGTCTTTAACTTAAGTAAATAGGGTCAGTTAAGGACAATTTCACTACTACAGTGTCAGTGAGGGTAGGTGTCTCTAGCTGGTGCAACTTTTAAAATAATAATTGTAGGCTAAAGAAAAGACTTTTAGGTGTCGGTTAAAGTTTAAGTAAAGTCATAACACAAACTCAAAGTGAACGAATGAATTTGAATATAATAACTTAAAATAACACTTCAGTTTATTTTGGAAAGTCAAGTATCTGACTCAAATTCTGATTCTTAATAATTTATTGCTGTAGTGTTGCAAGGCTTAATGAACTTTATAATTTATATTTGAAAAAGGTAGGCAAATAATATGAATTACTATGTTTAGTATTTTACTAGGCTATAATATCATAAATTGTAATATAATGGTTTCAATTGAATCAATTTGATTGATCAGTCTTGGACAATTTTAGAATACCGGTACTTATAAATTGACTTAACATTTGACTATTATTATTAGACTATCTTGTGCATTTTTTACTCATAATGCTAAATGTCATTAATGGTTTTCTACCTTACTGTATCTTTTTAGGAACTTAGGTCATTCCTTCAATTAATGGAAGCAATGTTGATAACAATACCATGGATTTATCCAGTTTCTTTTCAAAATTGACAAAGCAGACATCATTTCATCAGAAATGTTCACATTTTGAAGAAAGAGAAATTTTCCTGGCCGAGCCATCATTTAGAAATACCATAGATCAAGAAGGTGAAGGATATGTGTTAGTTGACTATTCAAGTAATAATATGGGGAGTGGAATTTCATACAGTGATCAGTCAAGGGAGAACAGCAACAGTGATAAGGTAATTTTTAGGGGTGTGCCGGATCCGTTTTTTCCAACCGGATCCGGATTTTCTTATGCGAAATCCGCCGGATCCGGATTCCGGTTTCTCCCGGATTCCGGATTTTGGTACTATTGGTAGATACTTCGGTAAGTCAAGGTGGACTACTACTTTTTGTGTATGGGAATTCGCAATCGGCGCCAAAAAATCCGAGTTTTTAATTTTCCGATGTGTGTGTCTATTTATTATTAAATTAGTACTTTCGATATATATTTGAGTTCCGTTCCATTTGGATAAGTGTCTTACGAGAGACGCCATGTTTCTACGCGTTCGCAGCAGGTTATGCAGCTCGCTCAACCTAATTTCGCCATGGGGTTGGCCACGCCCCCCTTTTTAATGGCGGAAGTTGACGATACTTAGGAAATATTAATTTATTATCACTATTTACATCAAAATAATTGATAACTTGTGTTTCAGAATGCATTTAAAGACATTTAAACTGGAATGTTTTAATTTGAGCTTTAACAACCCGGTAGAATCCATATTATAAATGATCAGAATTTACCGTGTGCAACACGTTGTCATTGGCAACCATTCACAGCCACTTGCATAACTGTATCGTAGTACTACCTCAGAGTTTCATTCATAAGAGTTTGCCGTGTGCAAAAACTATTAAACCATTGGTCAGGGAAAGCTTTAATTAATTATTCATGTGCCAAAGTTGAAAGTTTAAACTAAGTCTAAACAGTATTTTAGTGATAAGGCAGGGAATGCGTTGCCTTATATAAACTATATAGTCATTGCGCATGACGGGATTGGTGGAATGAGATCACAGAATGTGGAGATGCAGTCCATGTTAAAAAATGACAAACCAAGTCGTACTTTAAAAATTCATAACTTTAAAACTACAACAGCTAAAAATATGATTTTGGTGTTATAATTCTTTAAAAAATTACATCTTTTCAACTATGCCATTGGTTTATTTTTACAAAAAGTTTAAATTTTCTTATCAAAGTCCCTACACTATTGGCCACTATTAGCGGTGCTGACTCTAGCCTCTGGTATGTGCGGAATATTAAACATTAAACAAGCTCAACGCTCGAAACAATCGATTAATGTATCGTGATCGTGTGAAATTCGGGAAAGAGAATTACTTTTATTTCAGATTATGATCCGGTGAGTCACAAAAACTGGCAAATTCCGGAATCCGGTTGTTCCGGATACATGTAAATCCGGCGGAACCGGATTTCACCGGATAGTGCAAAATCCGGCGGAACCGGATTCCGGACCGGGGTCCGGCACACCCCTAGTAATTTTGGCCATATCAAAATTTTAGAATACAATTTTGTTCACATTTTGTCTTCAATTGGAATCACCTATCATTAAATTAAAAATTCAAATGTTTAGTTCATATTGTGTATCTCTTTGCCTTTTTTTAGTTAGTGTCCCAAGGCGAAAAATATAAATTCTTATTTAGAACTATGCGTTTTATTACTAACATAACTTATTTTAAAATAATGGGATAGCAAATTTCTGGAATATTTTTTTTAGTTTGAAGTTTGTTATTGATAATTTAGTATATACCTCATTTCAGACTTGGGTTTAAAATAAAAGTAATTTAAACATGAGCATTGATAAAATAAGTTTGTTCAACATTGAAATAAAAATTTGGAGGATTGGTTTAGCTTTAATAAGTTTGAAAAGTTTTTTTTTTAAAATGCTTAACATTTTTTAGTACAGCAGCAAATGTCTGCTGGTTAAAGTGAATGGCACAAATGGGTCACAATTTAGAGAAAACAGTTCTAACTTGATATTTTCACAAAAAATATTAAGTTAAAAATAATATTTTCCCACAGTTTTATTTTCAGCAATTAAAAGAAGTAAATTAAATATATCACCCCGCTTATTGAATACTCTTCATTTTAAATTTATTTTAATTTTAAGTCTGATAAAAATATTAGTTTTTCATTACTTTGATTTTTAAAAAGCTTAAAGCTCCTATTTATTATTTATTATAAGTGCCATGAAATTTTAAAATGTTCTCCTTTTTTTTCATTACAAAACCCAGCAATTTGATCATCCACCGTCATATTCAAATGACATGGTGTCAGAGCAGCTTCCTTCTGCTAAAGATGAGCCACCACCAGCCTCAACTAGTCAAATAGGGCATTATCACAATACAGCTGTAAGTGATGTCCCTTTTCAGCTCCACAGTTCATTGCTAACCCAACAGCAAGCTAGTACATTATTTGTGGGTCTGGACTTAAAACTTAAGGAATTTGATTGGTCGAGATACACTCATGACTTCTCTTGTGAACTTAACCATTAAGAAGGCTATTTCTTAAAAATAACAGAATACTGTTGTCTACTTTTCATTTAATGGTGAGATGTGGCCACTTCAGCTAAATGCTGAGCCAACAGTTTAATGTTGAGAGGTTTCGAATAGCAAAACACAAAATTAATAGCTTGTTTCTTTTCACACCACAAGTCAGTTATCAAGGAATTCTTATCATAGTTTACTTTAACTTTCAATTCATCCATTTCTAAATCACTTATAAACTATCAGCATCAACACATAATTTTCATTCGGTTGTAATACATGCCAATATTTAGAGCCTTATAAAGAGACTATTGTGTATATTCGCCGCCTTTATCTCTTTAGAATTCCACTAATCAGTACAGAAAAATGACAAGGTGGGGACACCAATAGCAAAGCAAAACCAAATCTATTACAAAAATGAAGCTAGGATCATGACATGCTGGAATAATTTATTGAATAAGAACGCACACTCTTAATAATATTAATATTTAAAATATAAGACATGTTTCAAACTTCCATTTTATATATTTAACAATGAAGGGTGTATATAATGAGATGTTTAAGTTTTGTTTAAACAAACTTGCAAGACACCTCAAAACAGACATAATTAGGAGATCTCTAGAGAAACCTACAGTACAGAGCTTTAAAACAGAACATAACTCTTTAACTACTTGCCATAAAGTTTTATGTAGTGCCAATTTTTCTTAATTTATCACTCTATGAAATGCTGATTATCAGGACTGTGATAATTGTATTATTTAGGTCAGATGAATGTTAATCATTTCTTGCTACCTGGACTTTTGATTTGAAATACTTTTTTTTTTTTTTTTTTTAAATTAACTTTCTTTTTGATGGAATAATAATTTTTAATTTGTAAATTACAGACTAAATATAATTGTAAGTAACACTGCTTGTTTTTTTTTTTGTTTCTTTGTTTTTTGTTTTTAAATTTTTTTTTTTTTTTTTTTTCTAAATTAACTCTCTTATTGATGGAATAATAATTTGTAATTAGTAAATTACAGACTAAATATAATTGTAAGTAACACTGCTTGTTTTCTTCTTCTTTATGAATGTTTCTTTTCCCTTTGTTTTGTTAAAAAGATGTTGTTGAAATGTAAGATATTATGTTAATAATAATTTAAAATATAAAAATATGTAAATCTTCTATATTTTGTTAAAAGTCTTGCAAGATCTGATATTGTTGGACGTATAAAGTTTATATTGGCTATTTCACCAGGCAATTAGAACATACTAAAAAAAAGTAAAATATTTTGTTAAAAATGAATAGTACTAAAGAAATTATGTATCTCCTCAAAATGGGGCTAAAAATGCTTATCATGTTGTGCGGAAGTGACAGGGTATTAGATTATATTGACTCATTAAATACCTGGTACTAAAAGTTGTCTCTATCTTGATGATGGTGATTGAATACTTTTTAGAGCACTTGTGTCCATGCTATTTTAACATGCTCACAGAGCTCTGATGTCTGATGGTGAATTTATTTTGAAGTCAATAAGGCAGCTCAAATACAGAAATGTTACTTTTCATTTCATTAATATTTCATTCCTGTTTGATAGATGATATTAATGGCTCAAAAAATGTTGCAGATATATTTCGAATAATCAATAAACCATATAATTTATTTCTAACCATTCTCAGACCATTTCATCATTCAGCCAATCATATTTTACCCCACTGTCCCTGACATTCCAGGTGAACAAATTAAATTTGCAGTGTAATATGAAACTAATTCCATACATTTTTAATAAAGTTGGTGGCAAAAGCTTTTTGGCTTATTTCACTATTCCTGTTTGCAGTTCCCTAGACCAGAACTGTTTACTCTTATGATTTTGGCATACAATGCACGTTTTTGGGGTGTCTTTTTACAGTTGCAAGCCAAGACCTGTCACAATTACGTTTTAAGATCCCTGGTTGAAACTATATACATTCTGGTAGTTTTTATGATTTAAAAAATAATAAATAAAAAAAGTCCATGTTCAGTTATTAAGTTTAAGCTGCTGTCTTCATCCAGCAGTGAATGAATTGAGAAATACAATTGGTTGAGGACCATATATTAGTTAGTGGATTTTTTCTATGGGTATGCCAGGTGTGTGTGTGTGTGGGGAAGGGGGGGGGGCGGTCTAAATATTTAAGTCTATAAAATTAACACAGCCACATTTTGGTTATGATTGTGGTGATGGTCATATTGTTGCTTTGTGTGTTTTCATAATTAACTCACTAAATATGGCAACAGCAATATTAGCATAGTCGCCTTAGTGACAATTTTAGTCATAATAATTTCATTTGGTCTTCGCTGTCATTCAATATAAATTAATATCTAGAGCAAATACACATCTGCTAAACAAAGTTACTGCAGATTGCAATATACTGCAGATTGCACTATCATCTACTTTTAAAAGTTACCCTTTTTGACACAGCTTAACTCGATCCCCATAGACAAGCAATGGGAGTAGTTATTGTATACAATATATCCACTGTATGTTTATTTACTATTAAGATACTGTATGGTACGATTTTGAGACGATATTGTATGATTTTAGGAGTTTAAGGGAAAACATGTCTGCTATACTCATTTTTTTCTTAACCTTGGTTGGTATAAGGTATTTAGTATTACATCTATGCAATCATAATTCTACAGGTTACAGTGTTAAATGTATTTGAGCAATTGATTTTACTCAAACTACTCTATAAATTATATTTTATACAAGGGGTTCTTCACCAGGAGGCAGTGTTATGGGCTGCGCGAAGACCCAGAAAATCAGGTTTATTTCCATTTTTTATTTCCATTTTTTTTATCATGGGGCATGCAAGAAATATGATTTTAAATGGAGATGGGGTTCCTGCAAATTTTAAAAATTATGAGGGAGTGTGGTGCTGGAGAAAGGTTAAGAACCCCTGCTTTAAACTTCCTTTTAGGTTTTATTTCATTCCTATTTGACTTCTATTGGTGTTCACAACCATAACAGCTTTATTGGTGTTCACAACCATAACAGCTTTATTGGTGTTCACAACCATAACAGCTTTATTGGTGTTCACAACCATAACATCTCTATTGGTGTTCACAACCATAACAGCTTTATTGGTGTTCAAAACCGTAACATCTCTATTGGTGTTCAGAACCATAACATCTCTATTGGTGATCACAGCCATAACATCTCTATTGGTGATCACAACCATAACATCTCTATTGTGTTACCATTGTGTTTGAGATCCATACATTTTAAAAACACTTTCCAATATCTTTTCTCAGCTACGTTTGTTGGTTTTGGGTAGATTCTAATTTTATTTTGCTTGAACCAAATTATTATTTTTTCTTTCTTGTGTGACTACTTTTCTAACATTTATTGCTAAACCGTTTACATTTTTAGACATAACAAATAAAATGTTAACAAATAGGGTTAAAATTTATACATGAAAACACAAAAAAAAGACAAGAATATTATCAGCCTCTAACAAATCTGATAAAAATGGCAACGTAAAAATGTATCTTAACTTTATTTATGGTATATAAGCCAGTGTTAAAGTACTATATTTTGTATGTGCTCTACCTAAGGCCAGTGTTTAAAGCTGTGTTTGTCTCTGTGTTCAGTGCATCTTTACTAATGTACTTAAACAGAGATGTTTAATGATAGAAGTAGCTTTTTTAATGGTAAAGAAGCTCACTTAAACTCAGTTGATCATTTGACATATGCAAATGCATGCCACCATCTATGCAGTTAATATGATTGGTGCTCAGAAACTAATGTAATTGACATTTATTTCTAGTCAGAAAATTTTTATTTCTTTTTGTTGATGTAAATTGTATGCTTGTTAAATGTTCTCGCATTTTTAAAATAGTTTTCGGAAATGAGTGAAAATAAATCATTTTATTAAAAGAAGATATTTAACTTGTTATTTTTATTATTTTCTTTTATTAATTTCAAATCCAGGTTGTTGTTTTTTTTCTCCATTTAGTGTGTTGGTTCGTTTTTACACATCACAATCACACAGTGGATTTTAATCTTATTAGCCAGACGTGTTGCCATCAAGCCACTGCAATGGTAACCTATTTCTAAACTAATTCAAACCTCTACTAAACCCTTTCACTTATCTCTGGGAGTGATCATATCTTATTGTAATTGTATCACCATAATTCAAGTAAAACTCTTATGTAAGGCACATGGCAATATTTACTTATCTATAAGTTATGGATAATGTTTACCCTTGAGGTGACTACAACATTGGTGAAAAGGTTAACTACATAACCATGTGGAGCCAAACACCAAGAACGATTTTGCAATCCGGCTTGGAAGATCAAATCTGCCACATAAGTTTGATTTTTAAATTTTTTTCTTTTAATGAAAGTAGTTGTGACCACATTAGGAAGCTTGAATGTTAGCTTCAAAATCTCATTAAAATAGAGTGAAGAAGTAAACAAATGTTGATGACTCTCCAATCATTCAACAGCTGAAACAGCACATTGAACTTTTAAAATGGGAAAATTATTGTCCTAATTGTTGACCACTTTGACCAGCCAGATTCCATTGACATTTTTCTATTCAAATTCAACATTAAAGTTATCCTAGTTTGCACGTAATTTTTTTTTATTGCTTTATATTTTACAATCTTGCATAATTTTAGATACGCTATCTATGATGATGGTCAGGAAGGGGTACAATTACATAGAGTGAATGATTGGCATATCTACATTTGCATAGATAATGCAATGTTTAAAGCCATTATGAAACACAAAATAATCATTTGGCCCGCTTTTATTTTCTTACAAAATAATTTCTAATCATATGTTGCTACTGCTATTTTTATAAGTCGGGGATCAGATGATAACATAACTTGAATGTAAGAATATTAGTGATGATTAGTTTTGATCTGTTTGTTAGGACTTCAATCATCTGCACCTGCCATCATCTACCAACCCCTTGCCTTACCACCTCGTCCCCCAGTGGGAGGAATATAAGGGTTGGGTCAAGTTGGCGGACACTTAAGTTTCGTTAAAAAGTTAATATTCATTGACGATACATAGGTAAAATACACATGCAACGTAAATGTGTCAGGGTGATGTATGTCGTAAGTCAGATGATATATGTCGTAAGTCAGATGATGTATGTCGAAAGTCAGATGATATATGTCGTAAGTCAGATGATGTATGTCGAAAGTCAGATGATATATGTCGAAAGTCAGATGATATATGTCGTAAGTCAGATGATATATGTCGAAAGTCAGATGATATATGTCGTAAGTCAGATGATATATGTCGTAAGTCAGTCGATATATGTCGTAAGTCAGATGATATATGTCGTAAGTCAGATGATATATGTCGTAAGTCAGATGATGTATGTCGAAAGTCGGGGTGATGTTTATCGTAAGTCAGGGTAGTGCACAGGAAGGTTATGTAGCAGAGTTTGAGATTTAAGGTGACTAGGGGGGATTAAGTGGCAACTGGTTCATGGCAAGGAATATTGGGAATGACAGGGAGGGGATGTTCAGGGTAGGGGGTATTGGGGGAGAGAGTGAGAGCTGATATGACAAAGTGAGTGCTGAGATGAGGAAGTGAGAGCTGAGATGAGAGTTGAGATGTCAGAGCTGAGATGACAGAGTAAGTGCTGAGATGAGAGAGTGAGAGCTGATATGAGCGAGTTAGAGCTGAGATGAGAGAGTGAGTGAGAGCTTAGATGACAGAGTGAAGGCTGAGATGAGTGTGTTAGTTTGCGTGTGATCAAATCTTCTCGTCTCCGACTGAGCTGAAACATCGAACATTGCCGTCTTCTGTCATGTAGATGATCAAATTTATCC